TTAAGAGGGACGTTAGCAGATTAGTAAGGTGGTGTCACACCTGTCAGTTGGCCAAGCAAAGGAAACAAAATACCGGCCTTTACACACCTCTCCCCGTGCCTAGCCAACCTTGGAAGGACGTCAGCATGGACTTTGTTTTAGGATTACCCAAGACCGTTAGGAAACATGACTCTGTCTGTGTAGTGGTAGATAGATTTTCTAAGATGACCCATTTTCTCCCGTGCTCCAAAACTTTTGATGCTTCTAGAATAGCTAAGCTGTACTTTGATGAAATTGTGAGACTTCACGGGCTGCCTAAAACCATTGTGTCGGACCGAGATGTGAAATTTACAAGTTATTTTTGGAAGACATTATGACATAAAATGGGGACCAAACTGCAATTCTCTACCGCCTTTCACCTCCAAACAAACGATCAAACCGAAGTGGTGAACAAGAGTTTAGGAAATCTTTTAAGGGCCTTGGTAGGAGAAAACATTCGGGACTGGGACTCTAAGTTGCCTATAGCTGAATTTGCCTACAACAACTCTTTGAACCGAACTACGGGTCTAAGCCCTGCTGAAATAGTGTACGGATACCTCCCCAACCAACCCATTGACTTAATTCCCATGAGCACTAGAGATAGGACATCTGAGTCAGAATCATCATTTGCATCGCATCTACAGGAGTTACATAAGGAAATTAAAAAGAAAATTGAACAAAGTAATTCAAATTATAAATATATGGCTGACCATAAAAGAAGAGCTAAAGAATTTAAAATTGGAGACTTTGTAATGGTACGGATCCGTCCGGAGCGTTTTCCTCCAGGATCCGCAAAGAAGTTGCATGCGAGAAGCGCCGGACCGTTCAAGATAATTTCCAAGGTGAATAACAATGCTTATGTACTAGAGCTTCCCGAAGTTTTTGACATTAACCCCACATTTAACATAGAAGATTTAGTAACCTTCGAGGGACCAGAATTTAATCCATGCAATCCACTTACAAATGAGCCTTGTGCGACCATACCTAGTGAGATCCCCAGCCTACCTCCACTCCCAAATTTACCCCCCTTACCCAATGCGGAGACAGTCGAAGCCATATTAGATGATGAGATCATTACTGCAAAAGGAGGCGGACGTCGAAGGTACTTAATTCACTGGAAAGGGACCCCGGAGATGGAGGATATGTGGGTTGACCGAGAGGAGCTGCAGATTCTAGATCTAGGCCTTCTAGAGTGATACGAGAGCTCTAGAGACACTCACTCGACAGGGTCGAGTTTTCTCCTACCTAGGGAGAATGATGAGGACATCGACAGACGCTACCGACATGTTTATCGCCGGCGAAACCCCAGATCGACGGCCACGATTCAGCACCTCTACTTTTGATATTAGATGTCATGATGTATTTTATTATTATCTTATTTTATTTGCAGTCTTTCCATTTTTACCCCTGTGGGGAGTTAGTTTGTTATTGTAGCCCAGGGGCAATTTCGTATTTTCTCATTGCATGAGTTGAGACCTATATATAGTGGTCTCATGTATTATTTTGAGCTTAATGAAGATTATGAATGAAAATTTGTTTTGATTATCTTGTCTTCTTCTTCTTGTGGAGAGTTAGAGAGGAGAACGATAGCCCAAGGTGAGGGCGAAAAGCAATACCCACCAGTCATTGGAAGAGTCCGTGGCTCGTGGTCTATCCCTGACATCCGATTCCCCTTCCTCCCTCCCCCAACCCGCCGGCCCTAATTCCTCTCAGCCGCCGGCCGCCCCACCTCCACCACCCGTCCAAGCCAAGCCCATCACCGGCCTCCCTTCCCCATTCCCACTTGGTCAAATTTTGAAATTCAAAATCTGAATTTCAAAACTTTCCTATTTTGGAATTCTCTTAATTAGGAAAGTTTTCGAATTCTCGTCAATTTGAAATTCAAATTGAAGTGGATTCATGATCAATCCTCCTAAAGCAAACAAGCTAATTTGGAAGGATCATAACTCGCTCCCACCTCCTCCCTCTCCCTCTTGAACCCGCCGGCCACCTAGGCCTTCCCCATTAATGCCACATTAACTTCCCCCCCTCTCTCTAATTAATTTGATTTTCAAATTCAAATTAATTTCCCCCCCAAAACTCCCCAAATCAAGCAATTAATTTCAGGATTAGCATTAATCCCTCCTCCCTCTCTCTTGAAACCGCCGGCCACCCCTTTAATGGGCTCTAATTGATTGCCCATTAATCCCTTAGCCTCTTTTGAATTTTAAACCTCATTTCAATTTAGATTTCCCTCCTAATCCACTTAAAATCTGAAATTAATTTCAGGTTTTGGATTAAACCTCTATTGCTCCCTTGCCAAACCTAATTTCTCCCCTTTGGAAGCCGCCGGCCCTCTCCTCTCCCATCTTCTTTCTCCTTACTCCCTCCCGTGGAAGATTGGAAGCCTAGAGAAGAAGAAGACGATCGCCCCGCTCCACTTCAATGTTGAATGGCGGATCCCGAGTTTGAGTGGGGATTAGTATTCGACGTCGACGGAAACATCAATATCTTCCGATCTCCGTGCTTCGACGTAGGATTTGTAGACGAAACCACCGTGGAAGAATACTTGGAGAGAGTCGTGCCAATCCTCGCAAGCATCTACGACCGAAAATTTTCAAAGCACGCTTGGAGCCTCGACGGTCGTCTACGACTTCCATCCCAACCGGCAACTTTTCCTCCGACGAAGTTCTTCGGTACCCTCTCCCTAGTGGTAACTTCTTTCATCGCTTGGATCTTCTATCTCCGCCAAAAGTCCACTACCCCTTGAGTGATACGCCCCAAGGTGAAATTCTCGTTGTTAAACGTTGG